TAAACCAAAGTATGCACTACCGGCTATGTCTCCAAGGCATTACCAAAAAGCCTAGCGTCTTGTCTGTGTCATCCAGGTTTTGACGACTCAAGGAAAAGCATGCTGGAGATTGGGTAATCCCGTAAATATCCCTGATTGAGATAATTAAGTGTAAATCAGGTTACGGATTTACCAGCCATAATTCGTGATAATTAAAAAAAAGCGTAATCTCGTAGATATTTTTATGTTAAGGCGCTTAATCGGCCTGTAAACGGGTGTGAATCTGGTTAGAACTATAAAAAGGGGGTGATATGTTGAGTCATTATCATAACTTTCACATAGTTACGATATTACACAATCCAATATATATATATATATATATTGATATATATATATATATATTGATATATATATATATTGGATTGTGTAATATCGTAACTATGTGAAAGTTATGATAATGACTCAACATATCACCCCCCCTTTATAGTTCTAACCAGATTCAGAGAGATTAGACTATCTTTCCTTAAATTATCTTAAGGGTGACATATTTATCATACAGAATCGCTTCTAGATTGTAGACATTCATACCGAAAGCAAGACACGATTGTTTTCAACCTCCAGTCACGACTCAGTGACTACACTTTTTGCTGCTTTTGTACCGTATTCAGTGATCTGCTACAGACTTTGGCCTCAAGGTGAGCACGAAACTTGCTCCCCACTCGTACTAGCGATGCTCTAGCATTATTGCCCCATTTAAACTTCGCTTGATCCAGACTGTAAAAGCTTCTTTTGATGTCCATGCTGTAAAATGTGACTTGCTGTACCTCGCAAATTCTGATTTTAGGCCACTTTCTCGCTATTTTTTCGGCTGTTCTCCTCCAGACTGGCGAGTTGCAACGTTTCGAGCTGACCAAGGAGACTCATTTTTATCATTTTCTCTCTTCCAGATGCATCAATTTGCATTAAGAAAAAAGTTGTCTCAAAAGGCTCTCATGTCCTGTCTCCATTTCCTGTACTCCTTTTTTCCTTCCCAACCCACAAAACTGTGTGCATCATGTCTGCTCGCTCCTCTCCTCCTCTGCACAGGTCGTCTTTGGTTCTCGTTGTCTCGGCCGTTGCCCTACACTCCTCCTTCGGCCGACACTTTGGCGCGTCTTCGCGATCTCTTGACTCTCTGCTGGGCCGGCGACTGGTTGACTGGAGCTGGTCGTCCACCGCATGGCCTTCGCATCGCTTTCTACTCTCGTGTCACTCTGGCCCGACTCGCCGTCTGTCTGCACATCATCCGTCGAGCCGAGTTGTCGCGGGCTCGTCATCTGGCCGAGTCGATTGCCACCTCAGCCTGGCAGTTGCCGCAGAAACAGACACTCGTTGGCTCGACTCCGTCGCCCGTTTCCGGGTTCACGGCCTTCGTGTCGATGGCCGAGGCTCGGCCAGACGCACTTGGCTCCGTCGGCCGAGCGCCGCAGCAGTCCACTTTCGATACAGTCAACCGACTCTCACGACTCATCTCCTCTTTGATATAG